ATAACTTGGTTCAAAACATGTTCCTTGTTTCACAACAGAGAGGTTCAACGCTGTAGTTCCACAAGATGTTTTCACTGGCACCAGCCGCTACTGCTGCCTACAGAAACAGTCCTGCCTGGCCCTCCCCTGTGCCGGTGTCTTCCGTGTTCCACCACATCTGCACAGTGAGAAACAACCAGGAAAAGGAAGGAGGATCACGCCAAGCACTCCCCCGTGCGTGTTTGCTCAGTTAGTTTTAAAGGTCAGTCTGTTTCCCTGGCTGTTTCACTGAGCAAGTGCACAAAGACTTGCTGCTGGCTCAGGGACGCAAACAGGGACAAATGCCAGAGAGGGTGGGAATTTTCCTTAGGCAGCAGTAACCAAAAACATTTGTGAAACTACAGCGTTAAGGGACATGGAGACTTGTTTCCACTAAGTGTACCACACGTGTACTCTTGAAAGCATGCTAGCGCTTTCCATTTGTAGTCTGAATTGTCAATTCGATTTAGAAAATCCATATTTCCAAGGCAGCTTCCAACACATAGTTTATGCCCGTCTTGTGTAGTGCTCTTTTAAATTACACATTTGCTCGAGCATTCCACTGGTCTTGTGCATTTAAGCGGACTGTAACCAAAATTGTAAGTTGTTGGGAGTCTTGAATCTTGTTACAATGATAAATGTGGACGTGGATACACTTTGAATATTAGTGTTGTTTTAAGGTCTTAAATGTATTGGAACCTGATAGTCATTTGAGCCCTGTGAAATACTCTTTATAAATGTATTGTCTATTAACTTATTGGTTATTTAATTGCTTTATTCTAAAATATCTTTATTATTAAAAATACAATAAGCATGTTAAAAATGTGCGAGTGTTGTTTCTTTTTTCAGCCAAAGCAATAGTAAGAACACGCAGTGTCATGGTTGGGATACCACATGGGCACACACAGAGTGGGAGGAGGATCTGCATGGGCACGTAAGGATCTGGCAGTACCCTGAGAACAGAATTGGGTGGAGAAAACCTAATTATGGCTTCAAGGGGAAGCCCTGCGCGAGAGAGGAAGGCTCTGTGCTGTCTGCAGAGCTGCAGGCCTTCTGCGATACCCACGTCATACGGGAGCAGGTTCAAGCACCCTAATGCTTAAGACAGCACAACCTTCCGAGGACCTGTCAGTTTGTATTTCAGCACTCCCAGGAGATCAGTCTTCCCGGACTTCGAGAAAAATCCACAAAGTCTTCTCAGCCAAGCTGAGTCACACAGGCTCGGGATGCGCTCTGAGATGTACCGTGGCCTTAAAGCACAAGTTCTCCCCATCCACTACCCAAGATCTGTGCATAGATCAGAGGAGGGCAACATGACACAGGTAATAACCCAGCTAGCCTGGCCCCACACAGGCTTTCACCAACACCTCTAGGCACTTGAACCTCACCGGGAGGTGAGCTTGGTCTGCCCCTGCAACCCAACAAGCACCACATCCCTCTCCATGTTCACACACGGCTCTGCAGTGGGGACAAGGAGGGAGCCAGTAGTAAAACAAGGGGGCAGGAATGAGCGGCCAGCACGGTGGGACGATTTACAGTGCTCAAGAGGGTGAGATACACACGAGAGGAGAGTGTCAGTGATCTTTTACACTCCCATGTTCTGAAGTACTCGTGCTTGCAACAAAGATCTAAGAGTGTTCCTGAAGGACCATAGTAAGGAAATCAAACTCTGATGTATTTTGTGTTCCATGAAGACATCCAGGAGAACATTCTTCCCCCTCCGCCTTACCACCTTACTTGGTCCCTGCTGGCTAGTTTGCCTTATTCCACGATTGCAATGTGCAGATATCCAAAGGTCACCATTGCTTTCAAGATTTTTTTTTCTTATTTTTTATTTTACATTTACTTTGCAATAACATAACTCTGGTGATCTCCTCCTTCAGGACTGAAAAACGTGGAAAAAGTCTTATTCCTGCTTCAAAATATATCCGTTCAAGGCTAAGAGAACAATTTCTTAGCCTGTTACCATCTTTACTACAATTTTGAAAGTATCTTTTACCTCCACTGTTTAAGTGATCGACATTTTGAGTGTTGGTAAAACAGAAAAAAAAATCTTCAGTTTTAAGAGAGACAGTCAGTTGCAACTGTATGGATTTCTTTTGTAGTGAGCAGAGAACAAAGCCTCACAAAGCTCCTTACACTGACATTTTAAAAGTTCAGTGGGTCAAAGTCACTTCAAACCATGATTCCAGCAGGCTCCATTTAGCAGTGTGAGTGCCTCATGCCTCGAGCATCACATTAGTACTAGAATAACATCAATGCTTCTTCTTGCCCCTAAAAACTGTCTGTTCACTCATCTCTCAAAAAGTACTTAACTATGCTCAGACAATATCGATTCTAATGATGTTACAGCATCCCTGTCACAAGACCAATAAAAAATCCTTGCTCTGATCTCAAAATTCAGATCATTTCCAAGCCTTCCCCTTTCCTCCTTCATATTGCAAGGATGTGGATGGCCCAGGACGTCCTTCGTAAGAAGGGGCCTGAAGTACCTAACCTGAAGCACCCAGCTTGTTAACATAGGGACTGCCCCCTTCATTCACTGCAGAAGATTCACCTGTACTCTTACCTATGCCCACATTCACAAAAATCTTCTCATCTTCCCCCCCTTTCCCCAAAATGACCTAATCCTTACATCTCCCAGGCCCCAAGCTCTGGAAATACACTAGAATGAAGGCCATGATTTATTTATGCAGCACCCTGTGTGAGCAGAACAAATACACATCTCGCTTCAGAACCCTTCAGAGGGATAAACTGAGCGCAGGACAATCCAAATACAAACATTGGCAGCATGGTGGAGGGAAGAATTCCAGTCGTCGCAGCAGGTCAGTCCTGCACCATCAAACAATAACACTGAAAGGAATCAAGACCAGATTCCAGTAAAGAAAAAAAGAAAAAGAAATGGCAAGTATGCGAGGTGCAGGGAAGGGAAAGGAGGAGGCTACGGCAACAGGGAAGAATGAAAATAGCAGCACCAAACACTGGGCAAGACTCCTCACTGAACTCAAAGTGAGGAAAAATGATATTGTCAGGGGGGCAGCTATGTAAAGGTTTAGCAAAAACGCTTCGACATCTGCTGAGAGTAAAAAACAGCTAGAAGGGGCAGCTAGAAATAAGAGAAAGCAGATACAAACACCTAGGTTTGCAAGAACAGCAGATCATTTTAATCGTTGTTAGGGAGGACATACAGGAGCAGGGCAGGGGAGACAGGAGCAGCCTCCAAGGCAGCCGTGCTCGGCCGCGAGGCTGGAGCTGGAGAACGGGGGTGTTTGGCGGGAAGGGCAGAGCGGGGCCTGCGCGCGGCAGGGCGGCCTGCTGGGCCGGGCCAGGCCAGCCATGGCGACGCAGGGCGGACATGGAGCCGCCAACGGCAGCCACCGCGAGGCGGCGAGGAGGAGAGACGCGCTCGGGGCCCGGGCTTCAAACGTTTCACTTGCTAGCCACGGACTGGTTATTTCTCAATAGATAGAGACTATTTATTAGTACCTACTTTGTACTCTCCCAGCATGAATAAGCACCACTATTTTTTAAAAATGAGCTATACCTCCCAATAAATTTTATCATAAATAGGCCATAGAGATTTCTGCATGTTTTCTTGCTCTATTCAAGCAAGACAATATTGAAACAACTGGAACTTGTACCTCCACACCTCATCAGTATGGCTAAAAAGAAACAGGCATTTAAAAAATCTCGCTCTGACTTTCTACCTATCTCTCTTTAGACCATTAAAATCCTTCGAAGGTGTTTGCTAGGAGCAGGTTTGCCATACAGCTATTCACAGCTGCTAGCTATCCACCCACTCGTACAACTGGAACAAATCTGTGCAGAAAACACGCACCTTTGTAGGCATTTTTTTTCTGAAGCTAGTTTTTCCTTCATTGCTTTCTAAAACATGTGCTCAGGAAAGCTGACACACACCTAAGTTTTTCCCAGGGCTAAAAGGGCTTCATTCAATGCCACAGGAGCGTCGCCTCGGCTCTGCAGCAACAGGACAAGCAGACTTAGCATTTTGTGAATTTCTCTCCATCACTGGGGCCAGTAAAGCCTTGCTTTCTCAAACTTCTAAATAAAACCTGCGTCACAACTTTCTTAGGGTTTGGTTCGAATTTCTAGTTTTCTAGGGACACATGAGCTAGTGACCCAGCCTCCAACGTGCTCCAAGAACAGCTGGCAAGTCTGAGAAAGCACATTTAGTCCTTCTCTTCTTTATACAGAATCACAGAATGGTTGAGGGTAGCAAGGACCTCTAGAGATCATCTAGTCCAACCACTGCTCCAGCAGGGACACCCAGAGCCCGTGTCACAGGGTGGCATCCAGGTGTGTTTTGAAGATCTCCAGAGAAGGAGACTCCACAACCTCTCTGGGCAGCCTGTTGCAGGGCTCTGTCACCCTCACAGGAAAGAAGATCTTCACATGAGATGGAACTTCCTGTGTTTCAATTTGCACTCATTACCCCTTGTCCTATCACTGGCCACCACCAAAAAGTATTTGGCCCCATCCTCATTACATTTTCCCCTGAGATGTTTGTACATGTTGATAAGATCCCCCTTTTTTGATTTTACAATTTGATTTATTTTATAACTTTACTGTTCACTCTTATGTCCAGGAAAGACGTCTCAGAGACAGAATTTGCTGCTCCATCTGTGTTTCACCCAGTAAACCCCTAGTCACATCTTGACAGAAAAATCACAGCTGTGTGGTAGCAGCTGTACACGTTGCTCCCTGAAGCTCTGGGCTGGACATAAGGGCTCCCAGGCTCCCCTCAACCCGTGCACATTTTCCTTCACAAGAAACTTGCTCAGTGTCCGCTACTGCAGGATGCTCGAGGACCAGCAGATTTGCAGAGTTGCAGGTCATCCACAAGAAGCAATTTTCTTCTGCACAGGCCAGTACAATTGTCCACAGAGAACACCGGAGTATTTATAAATACTTATGTAAGAAAGGCAAAACCAGACATTCTTATATCAAGCACGAAGCAAAGGTTCTTTAAAACTCTTTAATTACATATTTCGGGTAAGCACAGACAATACAATAGATTCCCCACCACTGAATATTTACACTCCTTTTCCTAAGCTTGAGCTGTTCATTAAGAGCGTCTCTCAATCAACATTCTTGTTCAATCACTTTCCTTGCAGAGAAGGATGCCGGAATAGAGCTATTGCAGGAAACACCATTCCATCAAGGCATGATTTTGCATGTGGTCCCCCCCTGCCCCATTAAAGATCTGTCCACTAGTTCAAGGTATTTTAGGAGAATTCTGGCTTCCAAGATGACCTGAAGAATGCATTAAAACCAAGCAGTGCGTCCAAGTCCTAGAAATACTTAAATCAATACCAATAATGCATTTGTGTAGAGCTGGAATTCTTTTTCACTGGCACTGCCATTGATGCCTGATTTCTGTTAGGAAAGTTTAACACCAATTTTGTTTTGTTCTTTTTTCATTAGCCTTTGTGCCTCTTTCTCCATTTTCTTTCGTTGTTGTTCTGCTGCTCTCTTTTCCCTTTCTGCCATCTTCTGCTGCCTGCAATTAGAGGAAAAAATGAATTGCTAAAAACAGGAGTCTAGCTGTGGGTATAGTTATATCTTAAATTTCTACCATAGGCTATTATGGCTATCACAAACAGAGCCTCAAAGTCTCCTGCAGTTACACTCAGAATAGTTGTTATTGTGATAGAATATTTGTCCTTTGCTCAGATTAATCTAAGTAATATTTCTTCAAATATTTCACCATCTAAAAGCCACTCCATTCTGGATAATTCAGAATAAATGAGTCATTACGAGTGAAGGACAGTTATAAGGCTTAGAGCTATTCAGAAAAATCCATTTAGCTGTAAAAGCAAAACAAAACCAAAACAAGCAAAACAAACACAAAATCACTTATCTCTTCAAATTTATACCAACACAAATCAACTTACTTAGAACACTGAATTTTCTCTCGCTTTTGCCTCAAGAGGAGGGATAAATGACTATCCTCTTTGTAATTCAAGTGCTACACCTTCCTCATTATCAGATGCTGTACTAACTTCTAATATTCCCTTTCCCTTGTCCAGGATCTGTAATAATGTACTCTACCGCTCAGGACAAATATACAAAAATACCCTTTAGGAAATAAAAGCTAAAGAAAAATCTTCAGCTGTGTATGCTTTATGCATTATTTCTTATCACTGCTATCAAACCACAGACATCACTACCTGCCAGCTCAAGGGATCTGGCTGCAGAAATAGCTTTCAGTTGCAACAGAGACGTAGAGAGCTGGAATGAGCTCACTTTACTTCCCCCTCTGCAGGTAGAGCTCATCACTGCGCAGCACAGGGGCAGCAATTGCATCAAGTGACCGACTGCAGCTCTCTCCTCTGTTTCCTAAGCATCAGGAAAATAGTGCAAAGAGGCCAGTCTTGATCTGGATTCATTAGATAGATGAAGAACCTGCAAGGCTGCACATGCGAGATGGCTCAAATATAAAACTGAAGCTTGAGTAATTTGAAAAGGTGACATTTAACACAGATTGAAGAAGAATAAAAAGCTACTTAAAGTAATGTACAAGGCAGTTAACATACCAATCTAAATTAGCAGTGTATTTCCACTCAAATTTGTGATACACACACAGAATTAGAAGTCATCATCCCTTAAGACAACCCCCTTTGTAGACTCCCAAACACTGCCAATCTGGGCCTAAGAAAC